GAACCAAAGTGTGAGAGAGTTGGAAATGAAATCCAAGGGTCTCCAAAGTCCAATGCTCATTCTATTACATTACATTGTCATAAGATCTCCTTGATTAGTGTCTCCAGCCTTCATTGCCCCCTGTCTGTTTCCCTGGCATCCCTCCCCAGCCTCAATATACAACTGTGGGCATTCCTCCCAGGTGAAGCCTTTGGCCAAATACTTCAGTCAACACCAAGCTCTCATTCCCTTCTAGTTGTAAGACTCAAATCTGGGGTCTCTGAGATTAGGATGATGGTGTAGCTATGTGACTAAGGACAGCTGCCACTTGTTAGAATGTGAAGACCAGGTCTCACTAACAGTGTGCTAAATAGAAAGACTGTGTGTGTGTGTGTGTGTGATACTGGCTTAAATATATACTGACTTGTGTTATATTTCACTATATCCAGCAATTTTTCTCTCTTGTCTAAAACTGTAATCTGCTTGAGGACAAGGAACCTCTATTCTATTGCAACCTACAACCAAAGCCTACATTCAAGCTCTGCATTCAAGAAACACTGGAGGCATCACAGCATAGTGGATACTGGGCTGGCCTTTCATTTGGTGACCATGACCAGGTAAGTCACTTAACTTCTAGGACCTTTATCTGTAAAATGAGGCTTGTTATCTGTTGTGTTTAACTCACAGATTTGTTTTAAGATTCAAACTCGATAATAAATGCAAAGTACCTTGCAAACTTTAAAAGGGGAACAGAATAAACATTTATTAAGCACCTACTATGTGTCAGGCACTGTGATAAGTGCTTTTAACAATTATCTCATTTAATCCTCACCTGGTCGGAAGGTGCCGTTATTATCCCTATTTTTACAGCCGAGGAAACTGAGGCAAGCAGAAGTTAAGTGACTTGCACAGGATCACATCACAGAAGTGTCTGAGGTTAGATTTGAACTTGGGTCTTCCAGACTCAAGGCCCAGCACTCTATCCACTGCACCACTAGCTGTCTCAGCACTATGTGAATGTCGATTATTATGATTACTTACTGGATCCAAGCCATTCCTTTCCTCTTTTCACGTGCATACGGTCTTTCAAAATTTGCCTTGACACACTCAATCACTATAGAGGCAACATAATGTGGTGTCACTAGCAAGATGTGAGTCGGAAGATGTGAGTCAAGTTCTTGTTTGACAAATCACTAGCCAAGTAACCAATTCAATCCCCTTTCCCCTCCAACAAACATACTATGATAAAAAAACAAGACAACTCTTACCTGCAAGGACATCACAAACTAGTAAGATTATAAGACATAAACGGTACATGAGAACAAAGAAGAAAGCCATTCTCCCTCACTCCACACTTCTAATCAATTGCCAAATCTTGAGGATTCGATCCCATAGCATTTACAGCTGCTAACCTCTTCTCTCCACTCACTTTGCCACCACCCTAGTTTGGACTCTCACCCCCTCTTACCTAGGCTATTGCAAATAGGTTCTTAATGAGACCCCCTTCTTCAAGTCTCCCCTCGATCTAGAATCCATTGTCCTCAGTTTCCATAGTGGCATTCCTGAAGCACAAGTCTGACCATGCCACTCCCCTCTTCAGATTTCAGAAGCCACCTATTATCTCTAAATCAAATATAAACTTCTCTGTTTTGCATTTAAAGCCCATCACCCCAGTCTATCTTCTAGGTTTATCCCCCACTAGACTGTGAGCTCCTAGACCTAGAGAACAGAAGGCATCTGTCTCACCTTTGTACCCCAAGCACTTAGCACAATACCTGGCACATTGATAGTGTTTAATAAATGTTTTTTTCACTGACAATCCACTCCTTCACAAATTCTACAGTACAGAGAAACTGGCCTTCCTGCTGGTCCTCACACAGATCACCCCATTTCCCATCTCTGTCCTTGCATAGAATACTATCCCTCTGTTTCCCTCTCCTCCTTTGGAACGCCAGCAATGGAGACAAGAAGACCCGAGTTCAAGTGCAGATTCTAATGCATATTAGCCAAACGAGGACGGCCAAGTCACTTCACCTCTCTCAGGGCTCCCAGGCAATTTTCTAACATTATAAATTATAGACAAGAAAGTTTCCATACTAGAAGTTCCCTTTGCTGATGAAATCATAGCTCCAGACAAAAACAAAACAAAATTCGTTCTATTTCATGGGATTATTTTCAGCACATTTGAATGAATTAACACAAAGGCCTGCAAATACAAGGCTGCATACATGTTAAGGCTTCAGATTTTTCCCTTGGTTCATAATGTATTAGACTCCTAACTCCCTGGAGACTAGAACCATTTATTCTCTACTATGCATTCTGGCCTCAAGGGAGCCTAGCTAGTATAATGCTCATTTCAAGATGGCCACACATGTTAACCAGACAAGCAAAGCAGTGATTTAAACACTTATAGGCAGTAACTGTTTCCATGAACCCCCTTCTTTCACCCAAACTGTTTAAGAAAGTCAGGCCACAGCTACACTTGATGTGGGATGTTTTTTATACTACCTTCCTATCTCTGGGAATTACTATCTGAGTCACTCTCCAGGCCTCAGTTTTTGTAAAAGGGAGTGGATAAGGTCTGGACCTGAAATTCCACTGGTAGAGCAAACTCCCTCTACCAATTCAGGTCAACAACTTTTCTGCAATTTACAGCCTTAAAGAGTTGCCTAGGGCAGAGGTGTCAAACAGGAGGCTGCCTAGTGTCTGCAAACCATATTAAAACGTAATGGGGAAATATTTAACAAAATAAATAAAAATACAATACAATATTTTGTTGTTGAGTCACTTTCAGTCTTGTTCTGACTCTGACCCCATCTGGGGTTTTCTTGGCAGAGACATTGAAATTGTTTCCAATTTCCTTCTCCAGCTCATTTTACAGATGAGGAAACTGAGGCAAACAGGGTTAAAGGACTTGCCCAGGATCACAGAGCAACTAAGTGTCCCAGGCCAGATTTGAACTTAGGTCTGACTTCAGGTCAGGCATCTAGCTGCCCTACAAGACACTACAGATAATGTTAACATGTGATATTCTCAGTCAATCTGTGGCTGGCAAGTGAATTCCAAAGGTCTAGGTAGCAAATGCCCAGGGTCACAAGCCAGTTCGTATCTGAGGTGGGGCTGAAATCAAGATCTCAATAGGAGCTCTCATATTGGCTATTCCAAGTCTATCTGATGACAGGCTCAACTAAAGGAGCTCTAAGGTCCCTTCCAGCTCTAAACCTTGTAATTGCCTACAAAAATGACTTCTCAACTCACCAAGTTTTAAGCAAAATGCTTTGATAGGACAATCAGACAAAAATGAAGAGAAGGAAAAAGTAAGACTGTGTTGACTGGGTAGAATTTGTGGCATCGAGCCTTTTTTAAACTAATTAATTTTTTATTGATAAATACAATTCTGGAAGTAAACCAGAAACTCATCGATGAGACCTTGGAGGCGTTGAGCTGAACTGCTGTTTGACCATTCTGCGTTAAGTAAACAGTAACTTTAGCTGAAATCCTATCCTTTAATCATAAAAAAGATAAACATCTACCAAGAGGCACAGGTGCCCAACACGAAAAGTTCTGATCTCTGAGGACCGGTAAAAACTTATGGAAAATTTTTATAAGAAAAGCCTGTGGCCAAGACATAAGTGTCATCCCTTTCCTTTTCAGGAAGCAGTGGTAAAGACATCAATCAGTTAAAAAAAAAAAAAAAGGCTCCAGGAAGCAGGATCCTGGAACTCCCTGAGTAGGACGCAAATCTCCACTTAAGTCAAGCTGGTTCTTTCAAGGAATTGTTTTTCCAACAGCTCTAAAGGTTCAGTGAAGAAATAGCCCCTAGAATCAATTACATGGATACTGTTTTTAATCGACTCTGGTGCCCAGGGAAAGAAGCCCTTCGGTGATCTCGGTTTTGACATCAGCAGTCCCTCTCCTACGTGACTTGACAGCGCATCGGAGGTGCCCTAAACACCAGCCCTTTCTCGGGAGAGGAAATTAATCAATCGGTCTCTCAGCAAACCACCATCGCTTTCCTTGCATAAACAAAAACAAACAAACAAAAAATAAATAAAAAACCCCAAACTCCAATGTCACCTCGATCCTGCATTTCTGTTCAGCAAACGAAGGGTCCTACGGAAATAATCAGTCCCTTGTACATCTAAAATGCAATTCCTGGATCCTAACCCCCTAAGATTCCCCGTCCTCCCTCCTCCCCCCTCCACTCCCCAAGAGCAGGGAGGGGTGTGGCGGAGAGGGGGGGAAGAGAAGAATCCAGCAGAAAAAAAGAAAAGGGGAGACAGAAACAGAGGAAAAGCAAGGGGCGGGAGTGGAGTAGGGGAGAATCCACAGTGAATTCTAAAACCTTTTTGCTGGGGGGGGGGGGGGCGCGCATCATCATCCTAATAATATGTGTCTGTGTCTGACTATAAGATTTCAAGATGCATATTCTAAAGAAGAGCTTCTCTTCCCGGCCCCTTGGAAAAGGGATAATAAATACACTAAGAGCCTTTTTCTTCCCTCCCAGAGAACTCCCGGGTCTGGGCCCTTCAGGCTTTTTGGGTCTTAGGGCTTTAACCCGTAAATGACGTAGTCTTCAAGAGGGGAGGGGAGGAGAGGCAGGGAGGAAAGTTGCTGGAGAAAGTCTCACGTCCGTGTGCTTGTGTGAGTGTGTGTATGTGCATGTGAGTGTGTGTGTGCTTGTGAGTGTGTATGTGAATTTGTGAATGTGTGTGAGTGCGTCTGGCCAGAGAAGAGGGGGAGGGGGCTGGGTGAGGGTAGGAAAGAAACAGAAGCGGCCGAACTTGGGATCTAATTTTAAGACAAATCCTAGGGCGCACACAAACGCACGCACAGTCGGCGGCCGACCCTGCCCTCGGGGGGCCCGGGAGGAAGGCAGGGAGGGAGGGAGCAGGGAGCAGGGAAGAGGGAGGAGGGAGAGGCAGAAGCCGAGCGCCCGCCCGACGGCCGCCCGGCCGGCCCGGGGAAGCCAGGGCCGAGGTGCGAAGCCCGCTCCAGGTAGAGCGCCGCGCGGTACTTACGTAACGCTTCAACTTCTTCTCCGGGGGGGATTTTCGGAGCCATCCCGAGCAAACCACTTCGCCGCCGCTCATGGTGAGCGAGTGTCTCCCGGGCTCCGCCGCCGTCGCCGCCGCTGAGTCTTGCGAGGGTGGGGGAGGCGGGGGGCGGGGGGCGGCCAGCAGCAGCAGCAGCCCAGGCGGGCCGGACCCTCGCACGCCCTACGGCCGCTCAGGCCTCCTCGGACGGCCCGGGAGGAAGGGCAGGCGGGCGGGAGGAGAGACGGAGAGGAAGGCGCCTCTGCGGGCTCCCCAGCAGATGCGGAGAGGAGCGGCTCTGGAATGAGCCGGGGCTGGCCGGGGAGCGCACTCCCCCTCCTGGGCTCTGCTCTCTGTCTCTGGCTCCCTCCCTCCCTCCTCTTTCCCTCTCCCTTCCCCGCCCCCCGCCCCTGTCTCTGCTCCCGGCTCACACAGACATGAAAGGAGGCTCCGACGGAGTCCGCCCCTCCCGCGCCTCGGCCGCCGCCGCCCAGCAGCCGAGCCCGTCCCGCTGCCCGAGCGCGGGGGACGCGCGGGGAGCGGCGAGCCGGAGCCCAACCTCGAGCTGGCTCCCCGCCGGCCCGCCTGCAGCCGCAGCCCCCGGGCGCGCCCCTCTCTGGGCAGCCGCCCCTGCGTGACTAGCGTCTCCCGGAGACTCTGCCTGGAGCCCGAGCCCCTGGCCTCCCCACTCGCTCCACCCCCTGCTGGAGAGGCTGCACTGCACACACTCACACACGCACTCAAACACACATACACACTCACACACACACACAGATGTGCACAAAAGCACCCTCCCTCTCGGGTTTCCCTGTCTCCGCAGCCCCCTGTCTACTCCTCCTTCCCAGACCTTCGGGGAGGGCGCCCTAGGGGCGCGCAGGCACCCCTAAATGCGCGCAGGGGCTTTGGGAACTGGTGAGCCACCAAAGTTCCACAGTCCGGACGCGGGGACCCGCAAGGCCCTGGAGTGGGGATTGGTTAGGGGAGAACCGCCCTGGGGCTGGGTTGGGGGATAATCCTCCCTTCTCTCGCGTCCAGCGGGAGAGTGAGGAGGGGGCTGGCAAGCCCCGCGCAGAGCTGCTGCGAGACTCTCCTCCCTCCGCTCCCCTCCTGGGAGTGGATTCCACAGACCTAGCCCTCCTTTTTCCTCCTCTTCCCCCGCCCCTCCACTTTCTCTCCAAGATCCAGCTCCAGCCTAGGAGTTGCTGACAGGTTGGACACACACTCCCCCACCCCACCCCCCAATCCCACCCCTCCCCCTTCTGGCTCTCCTTCCTCCCAACCCCTGCCTTTTCCCACTCCCTCTTCCTCTCTTTCCTCCTCCCCTTTCCCAAGTTTGGCCCCTGGTGGCTGTTTCTCTCCCTGTCCGGACTGAGAGGCCAAGACTTTCTCTTGAAACTCAGCCAAAGCCCTTTCAGCTGAACAACAAGGGCAGAACAGAGAGACAAGGAGGGAGGAGAGGCACTCTGGGATCTGTAGTCCGGGAATGGCGAGATGTCTGTTTCCTTTCCTCCCCACTTCCCTGATGGGCAGAAGGAGACTTCTAGAGAGCCTCTTTTTGCCTTGAAAGTTGGGAGGCCAGGACCCAACTAGGCAGGCTTGCTGAGAAAGAACACTGATATGAGAGGAGGAGGAGGGGTTGGGGGAAGGAAGACGCTGAAATAAGAAATCTCAGTTTTTGCCATCTGGACTGTGTGTTTAACCAAGTCTTTTTTTTTTTTCTTTTAATGTGGTTTAAAGGAAGTTTTGGAATTTTCTCTGGGGAAGAATGTGCAGAACGGCCCAGAGAAGGTTATCCGAACTATTGGAGGCTGGAGTTGCTTCTAAGTCCCTGCCCTTGGGTGGGGGTGGGAGGGATAGAACAGAGGCTTGCTCCCGGCCGGCAACCAGAAGAAATAAGATGCCTAGTCGATGACCATGGTGGGAAGGAAGGAAGGAAGAAAGGAAGAAAGGAAGAAAGAAAGAAAGAAAGAAAGAAAGAAAGAAAGAAAGAAAGAAAG